GCTGTGTTGGTGGTGGTGTTGGTGGTGATGAAGACATCACACAAACACAGCGCCCAGGTGATGCCAATTCACCAAGACACACAAAGACCCTGGCCGACATTCTCTCTCTCTCTCCGCCCTGGTTGCACGCACATCCATGCAGGGCCCCACTGCTGTCACGGCACTAATCGCGACACTCGTAGGTTTATTCGGTAAAGTCACGTAGGTAAAAATAAAAATAAATAATAAAATTAATAAAAATGCTTTTAAATAAAAAAATGCTTTTTTTACCTACGTGACTTTACCGAAAAAACTTAAGAGTATGAATCCTTGCGGTCATGAAAGCTTCAAATCTAGAACTAATCGCGATCTACAATGACCTGGTGTCAAACATCCACCGCTTGCGTTTGCTTGTTTGTGTGTTTGACCGGACTTCGAAGCCCACGCCTGGGACACGTTCAGACGTCAATCGTCACTTGACGTTGGCAGCAGCCGTCGACCGGAATCGAACTTAGCCGGCCGGGTATCAAAAACGTAGTGCGCTAACCACTGCGCCACCGCTCATAGCCCCCCCTCCCCCCCGGTATAATTCATAAAGTGCCATGACTTGTGATATTATAACACGAGCGAACTGAATATAATCATAGCCGACCTGGGCAGGTAGCACTGCCTTGTACAAACATCATTACACACGAACACGCGCGCAATGGATAGAGAGTTCAAACAGAATTTTCAAACACGCATATTACTGTACGCATACATGTGGGATTGTGTACATAAGCAGCACACGTGCTCATGCACAGGCCACATGCATGCGTAACAAAGTCACGGCATAGAGACAAAGATCCCTTTAAATGGAGCGCGTGTATTTGACAAAGCACGTGCACAGAGCGTGCGCTTACACGCGTGGCACACAATGACTAAAGTACGTGACAAGACTTGGCTGTGTCGTGTACATGCACACGTGTGTGTGTGTGTATGTATGTCACATGTACACGTATCGGTATCACGTACCCCCACCCCGCCTCGTGTGCTCCAGTCCCGCCGACAACTCCTCTTCATCTGCGGAACAACGAGCCTCGCTCCGACATCATCTTCAACAAGTCGAAATCATCCGCAAATCCCTGGTGCCTCTTCTTCCCTTGTGCCTCGCCCTATGTCCTCCTAAACAAACCCCCTTTATTATAACGCCACCAAGCAACGGCGGTGAGAGCAGCAGCCTTCCTTTAAGAAGTATATCTATATATTTGTTTGTTAATAATTATTATTATCCAAGTCGGGTAGCGCGTACGAAACACGTCCTGCCCGCAACACAAAAGTTGCAACAAACTGCGGCGCGCCTCCTCGTAAAGCAACGGGGCTTGGCTGACGTCTCCGGTGATTCACGTTCCCCTCCCCTCCGCCTCCTTCCCTTCCTCTATTGCTCGCTCTCTCTCTCTCGCTACAGACCCGGAGCCCTTTGCTTCCTCCTCTCTATACAATCGTGGGGTGGGGTGGTGGGTTGGTAAGACTCCCCCACCACCACCACCACACCCACCAACGCGCCCCATTGGAGCTACCCCTCTCTGTGTCGTGTTCCAGCCCACCACCACCACATCGGCAGCTGACTTTGCTCCACGAGGCAAGGGGGGGGGGACAGGGCTCTCAACTCAGCCTACAGCGGCAGCGGTGCCAGAACCGATTAGCTTGTGATACGGGGTGTGGTCCAGGTGCAATGTAGTTGGCAGTAGTGTGTGGAGCATACCTGTGAAACTCTCATCTGAATTGCAGACCAATTCACACCTTGTTGGCCACGTCTCAACGTGCATCCATCAAAGTCCCATCACAAGGGAGAAACACAACACAAAATAGACTAAACATGTTTTTTTGCCCGTATGGACCTGAAAACTCAATTTCCCTGTACAAGAATACAGGGTAAACCGGATGGGTTGACACGGTATGGTGTAGTAATATCAATACAGTATTGTAGTCCCCTTAATCCGCCCACTTGTTGTTCCAGGAGTCTCAATGAATGAACGTTTGGAAGTTGGAGGGAGTACGTACCCGGGAAAAAAAACCGGAGTAGCTGGAGCAAACCCACCAATTACCCGTGTACTCTGTTCCACCGTGTGTCTGTGTGTGCGTGTGGGATGTTGAGGGGAGCGGTAGTGTAGCGGTTAGCGCGCTGCGATACAAACCCGGCGACCCGAGTCCGATTCTCGCTCACGGCCAACACCGGTGACAGCGATGATCTGAACCGCTCCTGGGCCTCCCCTAGGTCGACTCAGCCTCAAATGAGTAACTCGTGCGGTGTGTAAACATAGGCCACTCGGGAAAAAAGGCGGCCAGGCGTGGTGTTGGCCACCCACGCCCTTGCTAACGGCACTTGCCCCAACAGTATGTTAAGGCTATACGGGGGATCTTTGTTTTTTTTAAACTTGCCCAAGTTATGTTGGTAGTTCTTCTTCATTGCCATGGGGATGTATGGGAAGGGGGGGTGGAATTCCCCCTCCTACTGTGGACAAAAGGGGACAAGCCATATACTGTGCTCCCTAAATAGTCTTCACGAACACAATCATACAGACCAGCGTGGAGAAGTATGGTCATGTAATCCCCAATGAAGCCACGGTGTCGGGGTTTTCTTTGTACACACCAGTTGATTGACACAAAGGGGCTGTTATATGTACATGTTACATTTTTGATGTAAATGCCAGAGATGTAAACAAGTGATGTTGGCCATGTTTCAGGAGTCATTTAATGGTGCTGGACTTCCTTACATAATCTGACCACAATAACTGTCCCTCATTAAATTGTTTAAATTATCTTGAAATTAAAGGCAAAGCGTCTCTATTCTCAGGCAAGCATTGGGATGACACTAATTCTCATTGGTGGCTCTGTGGATGTCAGGGGCCAGTCTCGCCATGAGGATGATCGATGTTGACCTTCCAACAGATGCAACCGTTTTATTAGCCCCAGGCTGACAATGGGCTGAAATGACCCTCGCCATGATTTGAACACGTAACCTTTTAACTGTGGTACATGCCTTTTGGTCGTTTGAGTAGAGTAACACACTACTTGCATTCCATTGTTTATGTTGCAAATGTTATGCCACAACGCTGGGATTGACCAAATTAAAAGACCGAGCCAAATTCAATAACTGCTTCATGTCATTGGGTGACTAAACCACAAAAGTCGTAACTAGCTGCATGGGAAGCTTGCTTTGTATCATGTTGAAGTGCACAGTTCAAACTCAGCAAGAGCTTCACGGCGATGGTGCATTGCTCCATTATATGGCTAATTGGTTCCCCAGCCACCCCACCTGCACCACCCTGACCTTGTTTCATAGAATACAGTAAATTACTTGTTTTTTATTAACTTTTGGAGTGACACTTTGAAGTTCAGCCTATGTATTTGTTATTTTGTTTCTTCCAGATGCTGTAGTAACAGTAACATAAAACCCACTGGTCCAGGAAGTTTATTTAGGCTAAGGATCTGTGTTTATATGTTTGGAATGGACAGTGTTTTTTGCGTATTTATACAAGTTACGTGACACCTCAGTGCAGACAACCTCAGGGGATTCACTATATCAACCTCACCTATGTGTGGATGTACTGGTTTCAAGTTATTGTACAGTGGATAGTGTAATCTGACAACTAAAAGTTCACATTCAGGTGATCAAGCCAGAAGACTGCGTCGGGAGCAGCGGAGTGTATCGCTGTGATGTCTCCTTCGTAATTGTAGATCAGGCATTGCGTCGCTGTATGTTGGATGGTCTGTTCTGGATGACCACAGGCGCACGCTGGAGAATTTGTAATTTTCCATTTGTGTATCAGATATCTGCATGGTTTGTGCGGATACGGTTTAGGGTGGACTATGAGCTTCGTGGAAGACCAAAGCCATGGATTTTCTGCTCTGGGTGTTTTTCTCAACGGAAATACTATAAACGTAGAGAACATCACCCCCACCCGCTACTGTGAAAATTTGGCAGAGTCATGAGACTCGGTGAGGCTTTCCTGGTTAAAGAAACCTTCATGAGCCATCCCTCAGTCTTGTGATGCAACATTCCATATACAGTAGCTCCTACCCACGGGCAAACCAGAAGTCAAGCACAACAAGTTTGATGAGTTGAACATTTTTAATAATTGTTGGAGTGATACAACTGGAAAAGGTAACCGAATATGTGAACCTACAACAATTAGTCTACGCAGATTTAGAGAACAGGTGGGAGTGCTGTTGAAAACTGAATTGATCATGAAAGGCTGCATACAGATGTATCTGAATAAGAAAGTTTTAAATCAGTACATATGACCAGCAATATCAGAAACATCGACATTCACAAATAAACTGGAACAAAAGCTGAAAAGTGCACAAACATTTATGGGGAGAATTCAAATAATTGAATTACACTGACAGACAAAAAGAAGAAAATATGGAAACTAATTTTTATGGAAAAAAAAAACAATTGATTTTAGACAAGACACAGTGCGAGAATAGATAATGACTGATTTAAGAGACCGGTGATGGAATGGCAGTCAAATGAGGGAATGTGTCTGAGAAGGTGACTCAACGAGGAGATGTCATGGGGAGGCCTTCCTGCAGCAGCGGATAGACAAGGGCTAATGATGAATACATTCAGAGTATTAATGCACTGAAGGGATAAAGCGTGGTTGGTGATAGATTAGAGAATAAGTGAAGTGTTTAACAACATGAGCAGCTCCACGAGAAATTATCACGTGTTTTACAAGTGCGAAATCACGACGTTTGGCACATAACGAAAATCACAACGGTGGTGGTTTGTATCGCCACTTAACAGCACCATTACAATCCCCAGTCTCAGAGAGTACCACCGCCCACTGGAACAGAGCCAAATTAACAGATGTGACTCATGACTTAAGTGATGCACAGAGGGTTGCATTCTCTGCTTCCCCCACCATCAGCCACCCATCACCTTGTTTTACCCTTCCCCACCCCTTTGATTGTACCCAATCTCCTCCAACATTCGGGCACACATTTTACGAACCTGGCGTGTCAGCGAATGCATCATGAGCACTTATGTCAGCGTTCACCATAAATGGTGGCTCGGGTTAAACTAATCGGCGAAGATCCCAGAATAATGCATAGTGCACTTAATCCTGATTTGACAATTTAGATCTTGATAACAATAATATTTAAAACCATGTGTATGGGTTTTCCCAATCACGCTTATTTCCCCGTCCATTTGCAAAAATATTCAAATTAGAATTAGAAAAATATGGCAAGCAGCATCCTCCCGAATAAAGCCTCATAAAACGTAGCGCCATTTTTCTCAGTAATAATTATAGAATAATTTAAACGTTTGTAATTTACAACCTTTTGTCAATGCCATGCTGGATGAAAGCCTCTGCATGTCATGTTCGTCATGAGTGTTGCTTGACCATACTTTACCACAGTGGTCTCAGTAGAAGATGAAGATATAAACAAGTATAACCCGTAAAAACAAGGTTTTTCACTATAAATCCTTTATATGCGTGGCGGCTAGAGTCCTCTCGTCCTCTGACTTGAGATGGCTGCCACCTATGGGTCAGATGATTGCATGGCAGCATTAAGCAATTGGTAATTAAATATAATATTTTTGTCCTAAAAAGTGCAAAATTTTGGAACAAAAATTTTCACGAACATTAATTGTCACGCACAACGAGTCTGTGTGGAAAATGTCAGCTCGATTGGATCACGGGAAGTGGGTTAAAAAACGACCGAAAGATTTGCACGGTCGTAAGCAAGCAAGCAAGCACGCAAGTGAACTTAATATAAAGGATTTAATAACAAATTACCATTAATTTCTTGGTATCTCGCCTGGTGCCACCGTGGTTAAACCCATCATCAAACAATTGGAAGGTTAACTAGTTGAAATCCTTGTTGGGTGTTGGCTCAGCCCATAATCCCTCCAGGGTAAATACAATTAGTACCACTTTCTCGGAACAAACTGGTTGACATCATTTGGATACATTTGCCCCTGCATATGGACATTCCACCACTCACTCAGAGCCACCAAAAAGAGTGAACATGAAGGAGTGACTTACCATTTGATAGATGGTCCATCACTTGCATCTGTTGATTGAAGCATGACTGGAGATATAGGGCTACCAACAAAACCACAGAGACACAGTACCAAAAATTAGCATTGGAGCTTAATTTCTAAGAATCACATTCCAAGTAGCGGTGCGATTACAGAATGAAAGGTGCGCTGCAATATCTCACCGTATGTGTCATTGAAATGTACATTCTAACATAAAATTATACAACAGACTGATGTTTCAGGCAATGGGCCTTCTTCAGTGGCCCATCCCGGCCAACCTGAAAGCAATATTGTATTTTTACGTACTCTTTGGTTCTTTCGGTAGAGTCACGTAGGTATAAAAATAAAATAAAACAAAAAATAATACATCACGACGTTTCGATCGCCACACAAGCGGTCGTCCGCAGGTGGAAAAAATTATCCAGTTCCACTACTGAACCATGGATCAGAACCATGGTTCAGTAGTTCCACTGCTGAATTAGTTCCACTGAACCATGGTTCAGTAGTTCCACTGCTGGATTAGTTCTACTGAACCATGGTTCAGTAGTTCCACTGCTGGATTAGTTCCACTGAACCATGGTTCAGTAGTTCCACTGCTGGATTAGTTCCACTGAACCATGGTTCAGTAGTTCCACTGCTGGATTAGTTCCACTGAACCATGGTTCAGTAGTTCCACTGCTGGATTAGTTCCACTGAACCATGGTTCAGTAGTTCCACTGCTGGATTAGTTCCACTGAACCATGGTTCAGTAGTTACACTGCTGGATTAGTTCCACTGAACCATGGTTCAGTAGTTCCACTGCTGGATTAGTTCCACTGAACCATGGTTCAGTAGTTCCACTGCTGGATTAGTTCCACTGAACCATGGTTCAGTAGTTCCACTGCTGGATTAGTTCCACTGAACCATGGTTCAGTAGTTCCACTGCTGAATTAGTTCCACTGAACCATGGTTCAGTAGTTCCACTGCTGGATTAGTTCCACTGAACCATGGTTCAGTAGTTCCACTGCTGGATTAGTTCCACTGAACGATGGTTCAGTAGTTCCACTGCTGGATTAGTTCCACTGAACCATGGTTCAGTAGTTCCACTGCTGAACCATGGTGCGATCGAAACGTCGTGATATATTATTTTTAGTTTTATTTTAGTTTTCTACCTACGTGACTTTACCGAAAGAACCAAAGAGTATGGATTCCTGCAGTCACGAAAGCTTCAAATCAAGATTAATATTGTATTTTGTTTGGTATGGAGTGGTGGCACGTGTCTATAATAGTGATTCATTATAATGGTTCACGTGTTTAAGTAGTTTCGTTACCTGCTGAGTTACGTCGTGGTCAGTAGATGGCAGTACAAAAGGTGTGATGGTGACTTCTGTGTAGTAGATCTTTGAGGACAGTACGTGCATTATATTCTCATACATTTGTATTTTATCCCTGTGAGCAATTCAGTTTGCTCTCATCGGCTAAATACCCATTTAGGCGTTGCCCAAAAACATTCAAATGCATGAACCTCATGCATGCCTTGCATGTCACTATTTTAAAATAAATGTAGGACATTCTTATTTCCTACAACACACAGTAAAAACAAGTGCAGTAATATATAATATTATATGAAGTACTAATCTCGGATAGTGTTGAGAATTTGAGCTTAATTGTAAAATTAAACGTATATGTAGCCTTTCTTCCATACACATTTTCCACTGCTAAATATAAATAATTTAGAAGTGTGCTCTTTTTTATTCGCAAAGTTGTACTAAATCATGATCAATGAAAGTCCGCAGTCACACAAGTGTCCGGGTTACATTACAATAAACAAACTATTTTTAGGTCAGCAAGGCAGTCATAAACCCAACTTTTGTGCGTCCTCAAAAATACAGCCAGGTAGTTGAATTCACTGACCTTGGCCACATGTTTCTCTAGGGCTTTGACATCACAGGTAAACACCAGAACAGTAACCAAGGGAAAGGTGAATTCTGAGACAAAACGACACAAAGATGTATTCACTGTGTGAATGTAATTGAAACCATAGGTTATTATCTGACCTCCAAGAATTAAGAATGGCATTGAGCTTCACCACATTTAACCATTTCTCATGTTTGCCAGATGATTAAAAGAGTAGATATATTTTAAGGTTCTGAATATTTATTTTTACTGACGCTACGTAAAAAAAGGCAGTGCATTTCTTTTCAACATTGTGGAAGTATTCATCTCCCATGGTGGCCTCGGGCCACAGAATAATTCCACATTTCCATGGGGGCCGCCCTCCCATCGCTGACCAGCCACAGTGGCACTCATTTTTGTTAACCCCGAGAGGGATGATGTACTGAGATGACACGTAACCAGGAGTTCAAATGTGAGTCACGCTCTATCTTTAGCTACAAACGTTAAACAGTGAACATGTACAATTCTCGAAGATAATGTAATCTTAATTTCGTAAACATCACCTGATGTATTCTAGGTTATTTTGGTAAAGTCACATAGAAGGGAAACAATAAAATAATAAAAATATAAAACAATAAAATTCTCACGACGTTTCGACTGCAACACAAGCAATCATCATCATGTGTGAAATCCACTGTGGATTGTTTTATATTTTTTATTATTTTATTGTTTCCCTTTTACGTGACTTTACTGAAATAACCAAGAATACGAATCCCTGCAGTCACGAAAGCTTTAAATCAAAAAGTCACCTGATGTGTTTTCCATGTACTCCCTACACAGTGTTTCTTCCAAGTTACTTATTATCTGTTGGGTAAATCAATTTCCGCAAATGTTTTGCCTACTTTATGCATAGTTTCCGATGCTACATCTCTACAATGTCAACTTGCAAATGTGAGTCTCCACACTTAGATATTCACTGGGAAAACAGTAATCTCTTTTTAAATCCTTTATATTAAGTTCACTTGCTTGCGCGCTTACGACCGTGCAAATCTTTCGGTCGTTTTTTAACCCACTTCCCGTGATCCAATTGAGCTGACATTTTGCACACAGACTTGTTGTGCGTGACAATTTATTTTCTTGAAAAAAAGTTTCCTTAACTTTACACTTTTTAGGAAGAAAAAAAATTATATTTAATTACCAATTTATTAATGGTGGCAGGCAATCATCTGACCCATAGGTGGCAGCCATCTCAAGCCAGAGGACGAGAGGACTCTAGCTGCCACGCATATAAAGGATTTATAGTGAAAAACTTTGTTTTTACGGGTTAATTTTTTTGGTAATTTTCTTTGGGGCCAACGGTGAAGTCCACATTCATATGGAATGGGCCAGTATCTTCATGGGAAAACCACGACAGCAGCAGTCCAGTTATGGGAGGGACATTACCATTGACTGAACTCTGCTCCCCATACAGTGCAGCACAATATACCGTCAGTGGTCATAGGGCCTACAAAGTGCAACAGTATCTTAAGTACAACGTATCCAGTGTGTGCGATTGCATTCAGGTAAACATCATAACACTTAAAACTCGCGCCTATGCTGCAGCTGTCACGAATGACCAGGGTTTTTCGATGCTGTTTAATAATGACGATGATTAAAATCAGGTCGGATTAACCATTGGCAGGGATATGTATAAAATCATGAATGTTTTATGACAACTTTACAACACAGATGGTATGGCATGCACACGTCTATTAGGAAATTACGTTGAATTTGGTGTGCTTTAGTATCCAGAAGCACTTAAATTTCCATTTGCAAAAGCCCCCATATACATTCGCTGGACAATGTCCACATGTATTTTACCTCTGCAATATGTGCGCATTGGCCCAGGACCATCTCCGACAACAGACCAAACAGAAAATCAGACATCCTCCTGTAAAGGTTGTGAGTTTGAATCCTGTCACAGTTCGGCTTTGCCCACCATCCTGCTTCGAGGTCAGTGTTGTGTGCACCGATTGGTGATTAGAGGGGCTGGCCACTGATCATTGGAACTGAGCGCCAGTCAATGCTACTGCCACCGATGCCGCCTTTCACTTTGCGTTTTCTCAACGCAGCAGTGACCCCTGGTGGTCATTCGAATGACATTAAACGGTTTTAAATGCCAGCGTTACGTGCGCTATCGTCAATGGCAGCTTGGTGTGACTGCTCCCATAACGTGACATATTCTTTGATTCTTTCGGTAAAGTCACGTAGTTAGAAGAAGAAAAATTATAAATAATAAAGTGAAGGCAAACTGTTTATAGAGGTTTAAAATGGGCGTAGCCCAAGTGTCAGCAGCATGGGCGGGGCAGCTAATGTTGATGTAAGATTGTAAGTGATACACTTGATGCAGCAAATCTGGCTGTGACGGTCCCACCTGATGACGGAGACTTGTGTTGCCTCCGAAACGTCGTGATTTTTATTGTTTTATTTTTATTAATTTTAATTTCATTTTTTACCTACGTGACTTTGCTGAAAGAACTAAGAGTATGAATCCTTGCAGTCACGAAAGCTTCAAATCTAGAATTGTAAGTGATGGTCGTGGTGGGAAACGGCGGCGCTGGTGGTGGGTTTCCACCAATTAAAGGGCTGCCAGGTAATCATTGCACCTCGCTTTACACAATCGCACTGTTGACGGTGGAGGTTGCTGCTAGAGGTGATGGTAGTAGCGGGTAATGATGGTGCTGGTGGTGGGCTTCCACCAATGAACGTGACATAATCTCAGGATTCGGGGTAAATCATCGCAATGCAGTTAAGCACGAGGTTTCGATAAGACTTTAATAAGTGAGGTGTTATTCAATTGGTACGGTGGTAAAACTACGCAATTTTTTTGTTACACAAATTTCACACTCGGTGCGCTACTCCACCGTAAAAATCTACGATTGTATCGAGTTTGATAATTAGGAAATGGTTATAAATAAGCGGCAAGCTTCAGAGACATCGCAACGGAGAGTTGTTTATAAGAGCTACGTCTCCCAGATAAAGAGACACCGGGGAGACAAACGGAGATGCAGAGACAATACGGAGAGACATAAAAATTAGGTGTGTTTGCTTATAGCGCACAGACGTAGCTCTGCTGACATGTAATATGTTAAGTATTTAGGGATATTTACATGTTTTTTGACCGGGGTATTCATTCTTAAATATCATTAACAATTTACCTACATGGGGGGGGGGGGGGGGGGGGCGAAACTCCTGTAATCTGCGTTTTTAGCGTATTGTTTGAGTCACAAATTGTGTCAAGCTCCTCCGATAATCCGCGAAAAAAATCGGATTCATGAATTCACGCGACTAATGCAGTGGGCACACCGTGAATTCTCAGGGAGAGGTCCATCCACATCACCGCGGATTTTTGGGTGTCTGCTGTATATATGCAGTCATTAATAGTTGTCCAAATTAAAATGGTTATTTATCAAATGTGTTCTTCAAGACAATTATGTGTTGCGTGACTCAGCAAGCCCGTTATAAGCGTGATACATTGTAAAGTCGCAATGCCTGGAACACTTCACGGAAGGCTCATGTTGACGAAACTGCAGTTGAAGAAGTTTTAAGGAATATTCGTACAAGTACAACAAATGAAAAACAGTGCGATAGCAAATATGAAACCCTTTCGACAAAGTTTCTGGGAAAATTATATCGCAAACATCTCGATTATCATCTTGTGCCGTGAAAAATATCGGCGACAACTCAAACAACTTACGGAACTCTGAAACCATCCACCAGAGGGCGCTCCAGACACATGCCAAGCGTCTGCTATGCATTTACCATGAATACTCTTAGTGCCACACCATAGAAGTCTCACGCTATACTGTGCTTATCACTGGACCACTCTTCACACCGCCGATTAGCACGGTTGGCTACAAACGGCGTGAAAGAAGGTAAACATACATGCAGACTCAGGAAAGGTTGATTTCTGAGGTGGTCAGGTCACTTAGAAGTCAAAGCCTTGAGCCGGGATTGCTGAGATTCTGAGGTTAAATGCAGATTTCAGCCATGAGTGATTAAACTGGATTCTCAACTGTAACGAGTTGATAGTTTCGTCTCAGTCACCAATGTTTGCACCAAATAAAAGTTACATTACATTTTATTTTCCACTTATTTTGACTAAATTCCAGCTATGTGAATAAATATATTAATTTGACTGTCAGGCGATAAACTCATAACAAAGTCTAAAAATGTTTTAGCTTCTTTAAAGGCCACATTAAATATTTTTTGGGAAAGTCCTGTTAAAAAATTCTCTTCTGCAGCCATTATCTGACAAGGAGGGCACTGTCATGCACAATTATCAAATTATTTGTCTCATTATATGATGCACAGTTGAAATGTATTTGGGCCAAAAGAGTTTCATTCCTGTAGCCCAACCATTAATTTCTGCACAAAATTACTAGAGGTTAAAGAATTTTAAATTGGACACTACTGCATGGGCCACTGTTGATTAAAGATAGCAATTGTATACTGGTGTCATGGTCTAAAATGCAATTTTTTTTAAACATTACATTTGTTCAAATTGATATGTGACAAGTAAATCATTGTTTTCAGAGGTGTGTACAACCAGTAAGGCCAAACCGTAAAATGCAGGTCTTAACATAATTACACGCAAAACATAAGTCACGAACAGCAAGTTCACGAAATAACTAAAATATCTGCATGAGGGACCAAGAAGATGGGCGAGAGCACTTTTGTGTCAATTTTGAGAACTCAACATTATGAATACATTCTAGATTTGAAGCTTTCGTGACTGCAAGGATTCATACTCTTACGTTTTTCGGTAAAGTCACGTAGGTAAAAAATAATAATAATCCCACCTGAAGATGGATAATTGTGTTGCCTCCGAAACGTCGTGATTTAATTTAGTTATTTTAATTTATTATTATGTATATTTTATTATTATTTTTTACCTACGTGACTTTACCGAAAAAACCTAAGAGTATTATGAAAACCAACAATGGATCACTAACATCGTAATTCACAGAGAAAAATGAGCAAAACGTCCACAAAGAAGCATGGGGAGGTGCACGCTTTGAATTAAACTGAGAAGCAGGAAGAGTAACATTGC